CTACAAAGGGTACCCAATCATTTGATAAGTTCTAAGGGTTGAACACCACAAATATAACAATATTTGATAAGTTCGGCACATGTTCAATCAAAAACAAAAAGAGAGAATTCTTATTTTAATTCATAATGTCAAAAAGGTTCTTTTCTACAATCAAAATAAAGTTTCATATTTATACTAAAATTAGGAAATATGGGAAAACGAAAATATCACTTAAAGATTACAATAATCTTACCTAAACTAAAATTCTAACAAAATAAGGAAATTCGAGTAAAATTAAGATTCTCGGCAAATTATTCTCGACATGTTTCTGTGCTATTGCAAACCCAAAAGTATAATGAACTCACGTTGCCTTGTGCAGAATTTCGTGCCATTTTTTGAATGTATTCATGGGCGAAAATCCGACAACCGAGTTGGAAGTTATGCCCGTTTTCATTTACGCTGATCGTTTTCTTTCCAAATATCTTCCAAACTTTGAATCCAACTCGTTTTAGCTCCTGAGCCCTTCACGATATTTGAACATTGGCTTGTCAACTTCTTCAATTTGGACTCCAAAACTCGACCAAGTGATTGCCTATCCCATATCATATCATGAGGAGTAACAATTAACTTCCTCAATTTAGTTTAATCGAATTATTGAATTAATCTAGTTGTACAAAGTTTGTTTAGAATGATTATTTACAAACTAAGTGTTGGTAAGGTCTAAACATTTGATTTCTATTGATTTCAAAAACTATTTTTGAAATGATTGGCCTAAATATTGTCAACACATAATTTGTAAATCAAGTTTGTCAACCTAGTTTGTAAAAATAGCATGATTCCGAATTATTCATACGAGCTTTTATAACACGATACCCTATTATTTTTTGGATTTTTATCTTAAAAATATTAATCTTATTAATTGAAATAGTCTAAATCCTTATATATGGATTGTTTTTTTTCAAACCGAAACCGTGTAAATGTTCCCCTTAATAAAAACAATTTTTTACTTCTAATTAATCTGAAGTTCTACACAGTAAATTCTTTAAAGTGAAAACATTTTTAAGAAGTCAAATGAGTCAAAATCAATATAATCAAACAAAACAAACATAAATGAAAATGCCAAAAAGAAATTATAGAAAAATCCAAATTATTATTTATTTTCTTAATATGATTTTAATTACAAAAACTTATGCTAGATGAATATCCGTACAAGTGATACATCACAAACTAACATTTATGTTAAATCTAAACAATATTAGTTAAGGGTGCCGCTATATACTTGTTATATATTCATTACGCTTAAAATGTTAGATTTTTAAAAATCCATCCACATCAACTTCCAATGTTATCCTCAGGGCCGGCCCTGAGAATTTAGAGGCCCTAGGCAACTAATTATTATGAGGCCCTTCAATATAATCATTTTTTCACAAGTGTAACAAAATTTAAATATTTAAATAATTAACATTTTTATATTAAAAATAAGATTTTATATAATTCAAAAGATAGAGTAGCAAACTAAAATTTCTCTCACAAACCGAGATATTAGGCTAGCATAAGATTTAACCTTCTCACATTTTAAGATGTAAAATCAGTAATCAAACTACTAAAATCAAGTTTTTCCAATATATTTTTTTCAATAGAAATCATAGCCAATTCATTCAATCGCTCTCGTGACATAGTTGATCGAAGATAAGATTTAATCAACTTCAACTTTGAAAAACTTCTTTTAACGGAGGCAACTGTGATGAAATGGTCAATAATATTCTATAAGCAATCCAAACATTTGCAAAACAACCGTTCATTCTTTTGATGTAATCCAACACATCAAAGAATAAGAACAAAGTTCTCATTGAGCAAATAACTAAAAGGATAAAAAAAATCTTTTACAGCAAATTAAGGGGGTTTTCAATCAATGTTTCTATATCTCATAGCAATTTCAGTTACAAATCAAGGGTCATTCCTTTTCAACTCAATGTAGAATAAAAGTACCAAGTTCATGTCTCTACCAACATTATATTCTATTTTCAGATCATCAATCTCCTATTTGTACTCAATTCAGCTCAAATCATGTCAACGAGCTCCACATATTTGCAACCTATTGATATGAGAATTTCATAGATTTTAGTATTACATCTTAGAAAAACGTTCACGCTGTTCACAAATGCAACAAAACAAAACAGAAAACTGTATGAAAGGAAATAAACATACATTTCATGGAAATAAACATTTTAAAGGAAACAATGAATCAAAGACTCTGTAAAATGGTGATATTACAAGCACGAGAGCATATTGCTTATACAAGCAGGCAACTAGAATTCTCATGTCAATTGATGAAAATTAGACCAAAATCCATATAAAAAAATGATTAATTTGGCAGAATCATGTAGTGACATTACAAGCAGATAACTAAAATCTTATATGTGATGTGGTTGTGGCGTAAATTAGACCAAAATTTTATGAAAAAATGGAATAACTTGAGAGGAGCACGTGTAGGAATGGAAAATCCAGAAACTTTCACATGTACAGTGAAGATGAAACATCAAATAAGTAATGCTTTTTGCAATTTTAGAATTTCAATGGATAATTTCCATTACATTGAAAATTAACCAGTGAAATGAATTACTCAATGACTAATAAAATGCTCAATTTTGTAAAATCCTACAAACGAACAGGAAAATGCCAACCTGTAAAACCTTGATTTTGATTTATCTATAGATGAAGCAATTTAACGGTTACCACACAAAAGAATTCCAAATAATCGTTCATAACCAGAGCAATTGAATTTGAATCTTGCATATCTATGGCGCATACAATTAATGAAAAATATGAATCGTTGTGTAAGGTTAGAAAAATAGAGAGAATTTCTTGGAGTAGGTTAGAAATGATTGGGGAGAAAAACGGTGGGTTCTTTCTTCAAAGGGATTTGAGGGGTTTGGGATTGGGGAAAGTTCTGGGCTTTTCTTTTTAGAGGCCCCATAAAATTTGAGGCCCAAGGCAGTGGCCTTACTTGGCTTGGGCCAGGGCCGGCCGTGTTGATATGCATTCCATGTAGAGCATCACATCAAAGGCCCAAGGCAGTGGCCTTACTTGTCTTGGGCCAAGGCCGGCCCTGGTTATCCTTATTAAATTCATTCATTTAAAAACTATAGATCCACACAATTTTTATATATTCATCCTACTCTAAATACATTCCTCATACAGTTTAAAAAAATCAATCTATTCATCCAAACTTTAATTTAAAGTAATTGAGAAGGCAATACTTTTGTATAGATATAGAGCTAAAGACCATTAATAGTGGGAACAAAACTCTCATCTTCTGACATGATTTTGTTCTTTCAAAAATAAAAATAAAAATTGATTAAATTTGTCTTCGTGTATTTCCTCTAATGGTAATACTAAATTTACAATAAAATGTAATCCTTACATTTTCAAATTCTTCATATATTGCTATGTCTTTATGTATATTCTCTAATAGTAATCCTTCCATTGTTATTTTGATTTCAATTGAAAATGATATTTTATTATTATTAGGATTTTATAATTTTAGTTGACTATATATCTTTCTATATATCTCTTTCTATATAAAAAGTGTCTATCTAACGGAATTTGTTGGTTTAACGGAAAAACTAATGGAATTTCTTGGTTTAACGGAAAAACTAACGGAATTTACGTAAACCCTAACCATTCTCACCCTTCCACTTTCTCTCTCTACCCCCAAATGCTCTCCCTTCTCTCTAGAAATTCAAAAACACATGAAAATCCATCCACAAAAACTTTAGAAATCGAAGCTGCAAAAATTCTGCCAAAAAAACTGAAAAACGTCGGAAATCACCATTCCAGCCAATTCCACAGCCGGAACCTCTACCCTACAGGCTGCACACCTCTGGATGAAGCCTCATATGGAAGCAATTTGAGACAAACAGCTCAAAAGCAACCCCAATCTGCTGAAAATCGAACAATAGTCGCGACTTTAGCGACCTCGCCTGGGAAGAACGTGATTTCTGGCGCCGGTACTGACAATCACGATCGCGAACCACAACTGGAAGCTTCCCAACACCCAAACGAGTCTAACCATGGTGGCAATTTATCCATATCATCAGCCAAACGTTCTAAATTACAGATTGAACACAGCCCTGTCGCGAGGCTCTCGACACCGCCAGCTAAGAACCCATTTTCCGGCTCTGTTCAGACCACTCATGGAGGGAAACCACCTGGAATCGACTCCTCCTCACCTGGTGCTGCTATTCCACTGATTTGCTCCCTTCTTTCCCGTGTCTCTTTTCTTTTGATTGAGCAGTGTCAAGCCCACTTAAAATGTGTTGTCTTTTGGGCCTTGAGCTTTATCATATATGGCTTCATTTCTACAATAAAATTATTAAAACCACCATTAGGATTGGCCATTGTTCAACTATAGAAAAAATATCATCAATAATCCCAAATATGCATATTTGTATCAATTTTCAGGCGGATTTGTTGCCATTTATAGAAAGAGAGTGATTTTTGAAGATTTTCTCACCAAAAAAAATAGAAAAAATGGGAGAAAGACTAAGGCTTTTGAGTTGCCTGATTTTTCTGGTTTTGAATATCGTATGTGAAGGCAAAGGGGTACACAGAAATGCCTATCCTACCATGACGTATATGGGTTCAGATCTGTATTTGCATATACTCTTGTGTTTATATGGTTGTACTTGCTCTGTTTCTACAGCATGTCATTTGATGTTTGTTGGATCAAGCATTTTTTTTTATTAAATGTATTTATCTAATCGGATCTAAAAAAATTGAGTTGATCGGCATTTTAATTTCTTATGTTGTTGTTTCTGTTTATTACATTCTAATCAATTTCTGATTGGGATTAATCATTCCTAGGAGCAAACTTCTCATTTTTAACCATTTTGTTGTATTACTTTATTCATAAAATACTGTTGAGAATTTTGCATTGATTTCCTTGGTGAATCTTTTATTAGATTTGAACTTTTTTTCTCATTTTCTTCTTTGTTCCCAGTTGCAGATTTTGAGCAATAATGGCGACATATACATCCAAGAATATCCTCATTACTGGTGCTGCTGGATTTATTGCATCTCATGTTGCAAATAGGCTCATCAGAAACTATCCTGACTACAAGATTGTTGTCCTAGACAAGTTTGATTACTGTTCTAACCTTAAGAACCTCCTTCCTTCCAATACTTCCCCTAACTTCAAGTTTGTTAAGGGGGACATCAGTAGTGATGATCTTGTCAACTGCCTTCTCATTACTGAGAACATTGACACTATATTGCACTTTGCTGCTCAGACCCATGTTGATAATTCTTTTGGTAACAGTTTTGAGTTCACCAAGAACAACATATACGGCACCCATGTTCTACTAGAGGCCTGCAAAGTTACTGGACAAATCAAAAGATTTATTCACGTAAGCACGGATGAGGTCTATGGAGAGACTGACGAGGATGCAGTTGTAGGAAATCATGAGGCATCGCAACTTCTGCCAACAAACCCATATTCAGCTACAAAACTAGGGCAGAAATGCTTGTTATGGCTTATGGTAGATTATATGGATTGCCGTGATAACCACTCGAGGAAACAATGTTTATGGACCAAATCAGTTTCCCAAAAAGTTAATTCCCAAGTTCATCCTTTTAGCCATGAGAGGGCAGCCTCTTCCTATTCATGGGGATGGTTCTAATGTGCGAAGTTATCTCTATTGTGAGGATGTTGCTGAGGCATTTGAATGCGTTCTTCACAAGGGAGAAGTTGGTCATGTTTACAACATTGGAACGACGAAGGAGAGAAGAGTGATTGATGTCGCCAAAGATATATGCAATTTATTTAACATGGATCCAGACAAAAGCATTCATTTTGTGGATAACAGTCCATTCAATGATCAGAGATACTTCCTTGATGATCAGAAGCTGAAGAATTTGGGTTGGATTGAGAGGACTACATAGAATGAAGGTATAAGAAAGACCATGGAGTGGTATACCAGCAATCCTGGTTGGTGGGGTGATGTATCTGGAGCACTGGTTCCTCATCCTAGAATGCTCATGATGCCCTGTGGAATTGAAAGACTTGATGGAGCTTACAAGGACGAGTTTAAAAAGTCTGAATTATTGAGCAAGTCTAACCAGAGCCACATGGTGGTTCCTGCCTCCAAAAACAATACATCTCAAAAACCATCGTTCAAATTCTTGATCTATGGTACGACTGGGTAGATTGGCGGTTTGCTTGGAAAATTATGTGAGAAACAGGGGATTCCATACGAGTATGGAAAGGGACGCTTGCAGGATCGCTCACAGCTGTTGGCGAACATCCTTAGTGTTAAGCCAACTCATATACAAGTGTGATTTACTAATTTGTTCTATTTGGCTTGTCAAATCAGGTGGAAGAGCTCTTGATAGAATATGACAACTTCTGCACACTCAGATTCGAATGCCAATATCTTCTGACCTCTTAATTGTTTTTCTTTTTCTTCTTCTTTTTCCTTTTTTCATTTTTTTTATTTTGTAGTTACCACAGTTTAATATAGATTTTTTTGTAGTTGATTGATTTATGATGGAGCTCGTATAGATTATAATCCTATCTATTTTAAGGTTTAGTCCCATTGATACAGAAAACTTCTTGAAATGGGTGATATATATTATGATTTGCTCGTGCTGCAGAGTTTGTATTTAATGAAGAAACTTCTAATGTAGATTTTTGTATCAACAAAACTATTAAATATAAACTAAGCAAACGTGCATTGCACGTTGCTTACACCTAGTATATAGATACGAACGAAGTTCTAATATATTTTGAGTTGTCCACAACAGAAAAATATATAAGATTGTGTTGATGCCATTTCATTTTGTATAACAATTTAAGAAATCGGTGGTCTCAAATAACAAATTCTCTGTAAAATATTTCAATTTATTATTGAATTTCACTATAAATTATTCAACAATTGAAGTCATATAATCAATTTTATATACTCACAAATGTTCATATGCCAAAATAATAGAAAAAACTCAAAAATCAATTAATATGTTAATATAACAACAGTCATATATAATAATAAACTAAATACATTGAAATTAAACAAAGCATATAATTGGTACCTTATGAGATCAAAACTCGCATGGAACAAAATAAGCCCTACGTCCTTCTCTATTTTCTTAAATGCATAAAAAACTTATCTAGTTATTGAATTCAAACCCACCAAAGCCTACACCTCAACGTCTTTAAATATTGTTTGTTATGTATTTAAGTTACATATCAAATGAATGAAAATATTGGTTTTAATGGAAAAAAAATGAAAATTATTTTAAACGTATGGTGAATTAATGATAGTGTTTCTAATGAAAAATCAAGGACATTGAGAACCATGTTTAAAAATTTACTTAATATTCCATCTGTCTTATTTATATATGATGATTTTGTTTTTTCACACATATTAAGAAATTTTATTTAATGTTATTGAAAAAACAACTTTTGTAAAGAATTTTCCTAATTTATCCTTATATCAATAACTAGTGTGTTTTTGTCCATGTTTCTAAAAAGAAGTGGGAAATGAAGGGGTGAACACGGTTCGGTTTGGGTGGTTTGCATCATATTTTCAACTCAAACCATTTCATGCGGTTTGGAAAAATTCCAAACCAAACCAAACCATTTTATTTTTCAAACCAAACCAAACCAAACCAAACCATAATTTGCGGTTTGGTTCGATTTTAATATACCAAACCAAACCATTTTATTTTTCAAACCAAACCAAACCATAATTTGCGATTTGGTTCGGTTGTAATCCGCGGTGTACATATCGACATTATAATAATATATTTAAAACAAGTTAACATATACGTTTAAACGATAACTAATAATGTTAAATGTTAAATTACTTTCATATTTGTCTAGAATTCAAAACACAAAAAGATAATGGCAAGTTAGCATTTAGCAACATGCCAATAACTTTTACAAGAGTATAAAAATGACGTTTTAACCTCTCATTTGACAATAATTGGATCAACATCTCCTGTTGCAACACATGACTCGACCTCTGCATAATATAATATATGACAAGGTCAATGCTGTGGCACACAGATATTATATAATATATGACATAATACATATGATAAAACTTGCTTTGTTCTGTAATGCAAAAACCACATAGCAGGAAATATAATTTCAAAACATGACAGTAATGAAAGAGAGCTCCTTACAGGGAAAGCCAAGTCAAGTAAAGCAGTATGATTGCTACTTAATTTGGTGAAAAGCAAACTGCTAGGATATGACTGCACGATGGAAAAACTATCATTAGTTCATATTCTCAACTAGACGATGGAAAAACTATCTTCAGGTTCATCATCAAAATCCGCAGATGAATGATAATTAGGAAACAAGCTACAGCCAGTCACAACTAGAGCATCAAAAGAGAAAAAAGGAACGTCTAAAGAAATGAATATCGGTTAATGAAATTCCTTTAATCAAAAATCCAAATCAAAGTTTATATCATTTTAATCTAAATATTTCAGTTAACAATCTATGACCAACACATATAAACAAAAAATAAGAAAAGATATGAAACCAACAAAAATTCAAAATAACAAAGAAAAAGAAAGCAAAAAGTCCTTACAAAAATATTTTGATTTGGGTCTTGCGAGGAGAAAGACAAGAGTGAGAGGCACCGGTGGTTGATGGTGGAAGGCGGCAAGAGACGTGAGTGAGAGTTGAAGAAGCGGGTGAAGTCGCACCGCAGAGAGGCTGAAGGATGAGAGAGATGCTATGGTTTGTAATTTGTAGTTTGTACTTTGTATGGATTGGTGATAACTGATAGGTTTTGATGGTTTGTGAATCAAAAGCCCAATAATCCAAAAAGATAAAAAATTAAAATGATGTGAGCCAAAGTTCAGTATGTCCCTGGTTGGAACCTGGAAGTCTCATATTACTAACTGGAACCCGAAGTCTCATATTACTAAAATAATAATAAAAAATCTGATTTGAGAATTTATAATTTAATAAAAAAAATTAATTAAAAAAAGTGCGGTTCGGTTTGGTTTTTTGCGATTTTTAAAATTTGAAACCTAAACCAAACCATTTTGAAACGGTTTGGTTCGGTTTGGAGAAAAAAAAACCACGAGTCCACGTGGACCCAAACCAACGGTTTCAAACCAACGACTTCNCATTTTGAAACGGTTTGGTTCGGTTTGGAGAAAAAAAAACCACGAGTCCACGTGGACCCAAACCAACGATTTCAAACCAACGACTTCAGTTCAGTTTGCGGTTTCGCGGTTTTTTTGTGCAGCCCTAGGGAAATGTGTGAGAGGAATTGAGAGACAAATTAAATAAAGGTATATTAGTAAACGAACAAAATAAATATTTTCTCAATAAAGAAACATGACTATATAAATGAGACTATAAATTATGGAAAGTCGGCTTATATAAATGAGACGAATGAAGTACATTAAAAGAAATTAGGAAAATTAAATAAGGACATAGTTGACAAAAAATAAAAATAAAAAAATAAGGAAAAAATTGTAAACCAAATGAGGGTATATTGTGCATATAAGTAAATATATAAGGGTAAAATTGAATTAAAAAATTTCTCCTCAATCCTTCATTTTTAAGTAAAGTTTATCCAATTATTGAATTCAAACCCACCAAAGCCTACGCCTCAACGACTTTAAATATTATTATATATTGAAGTTATATATCAAATGAATGTAAATATTGATTTTAATGGAAAAGGTGATGAGTCTTTTAAACTTAAGGTGAATTAAAGGTAATGTTTTTAATGAAAAATCAAAGACATTGAGGACCATGTTTAATATTATAAGTTGCAAAACTAACTTAAAGCATTAAAAAAAATTAAATAAGAAAATTAAATAAGGACATAGTAGACAAAAAATAAAAAAAATTAAGGACAAAAATTGTA